TAAATTTACCTATATTTACACGAAAAATGGAGCAAGTAAAAATATATATGTACGGTGAGGCAATGTTAGGGGGCCTGGAAAAATTACCTGAAATAGTGCAAGACTTGTTGGAGATCGTCTGCGCATGCGCGAGGGCAAAAGATTTACAATAAAATGTTTTATTACAATTTTTGCAATAATCTATGTATTAATTATAAAAAACTATTTTGGGGGCAACAGGCGCAATGCACGCGCTATCTTCTAAGCCTTTACTTATTTTTGTAGGACTTACTACTCAAGCAAATAATACAATTGAAATTTGGGGGCAGACCCCAAGTAATTGTTATTTATAATTAAAAAATAAGGCAACGCGCAAAAAAGTTAAGTTCGCTAATTTGTTGTATTTTTTACGCACAATCTAATGGTGTAATTTATTTTGGTATTTATAAACTCTGGGGGCCAAATTTATACAGCTGTTGTGGTGGCGATCGCGGGCCTGCGCCATACCATCGGGACCGAGAGGAGGTACTTGAAGCGATTGTAGATAGCGGTTGTGTTTATTGCAATAAATCTGTAAAATAAAGTCAACATGACCTTTTGTGTACATTTGCCCAGACGCGAATTCCCTTTTGACACAATTCCAGTGAAGGAGCGAGTAGGGAGAGTGTTATCGAGCAGAGACGTACGAGAGAGAATAAGAACGATATTTTCTCTCCAACGGTAAGTCACCTTGGGGAACGTGAAATACACGTTATAGATTTTTTTAGCAGACAGTAGGCGCAGAAATTCAAGTTCGAAAGAAATCTTTGTATGTATTGGCTAATTAATGCCTAAAAATGTTGGTTAATGTTGTATGATTACATACATAATAAGTATACCAAGAATTCTTTCGAATTTGAATTTCTGCGCCTACGGTCTGTTGAAAAAATCATACGATTTTGAATTCAAATTCTCGCGCGAAGTAGTTCTCGGTGAGATCCAATCAGCGGCGCTATGTGCGATCAAGCATGAAGTGTGAACGTGGAATAATGCTCAGACCAATGCTGATACGCAGTCTTTGCATGGGCATTCGTTCGTACCCTCGCGACAGACGAGATTGAGAGTTTTTTATATTTATTTTATAAATGAACATTAAACGGAAAATTTATTTCTTTAAATATTTTATTTGACTTGTGTTGCTGCTATGGTATTGTGTTAAAAAAATTGATAAATTTTGTATTTACTATTCACTAATATTTACTCATTTAAATAAAACCACTTCCTTCGAATATAGTTTCTATATTATTATACTTCATGTCCATTCAAAAAGTGCCCACATTGCTTTGATAAACTTGATTTTTTATGTACAATTTCTCATGTCGCGAGCGCACCTAAAAATGCTCACCCAAAAAAGTGCCCAACGCGCCACAAGTTTAAGTATTCACTTCTGCCTGCACTCCCGGAGTGCTACTTGTACTTAGTTTGAAGATGCGAGTGTCAGGGTTACGATAGGAATGTTTTTTTGCTTGTACACTCCATTTAAGTAGTTTAATTGATAGTCAAACAGCGAGTTTGAAAAGTGCTGACTTTGAATTAAATTATCTCCGGATTTTGATCGCCAGCCCATAAAAATGAAGATACCATTGGATTTAGCGCGATCTCAACTTTAATAGTATATCTGTCAAAGTTCTTGATGGAGCCTTCTTAGAACTTTCCATTAAAATAAAAAACGCACATTTGTTCACCATAATATTGCTAACTTTGTTAAATATCGGCGGGAACAAGAGAGGTTAGTACAGGTTAAATGTACAATCGTCAAAAAAATATCAATGGTATGGTTATTTTTCAGAAAACATTATTTGCAGGCTTTTATGGTATTTTACACGCTAATAGTGTAAAAAAAAAGTTGTCTCCTAAGGACCAATATTATTTTTCTCCCAATTAGCTATACATATCACGAAAGTCACGTGACCTTTTGAGATCCCAATGCTAGCACTGTTTCATTCATATTAAAGATTTTAAAGTACAGGAAATGTTACTTAGTGGTTTAAACTTTATTGAAATTGGAAAAATTCATAGATTATAAAAATTTAATATAGAATTCCAAAGTTTAACACAAAAAAACTTTATTTGCACATTACGATGACAGAAAAATTTTAATATGAAAGAACATAACATAAGTTATCATTACGTTATTCAAACATATCACTGAATATTTCTTAGAAATTTTACTGCTTGATTTTTTATGAAACTGAAAAGATTAATATCACCATAAGTAACCTCCTTGAGCCATATCTGTTTGCAGCAAATTAAAAAAAATGTGATTTAGAAAATGGTAAGGTGTGGTTTGTAAATCAAAAAAATATTCGTTTATTCCTAATTAATTTATTTACCTACTATGTTTTTACATAGTTCCATTACATTCTTTCACATATATTCGTAGATGAATTAGTTTATGTAACAAAACTACAAACATTACATCTTACAATTTTTACAATATTAAAAAATTTTTCAACTCTACTATAATCTGTCAAATACTCTCGCGCTTAAATACCTAGATGAATTTGTGTTACTATGAACAATTTGTTTTACAATATTTACAATACCAAAAGGCTTTTAAGTCTATTACATCCTTTTAAATACTTTCATACTTATGGATATTTGTAGATTATGTAGAATATTAAATACTACCACGATCATTATTTTTCACAATACTTACAATATAAAAAGATACTTAAGTCTATTATACACTTTTAAATACTCCTGCCCTTATGTATATGGACAAATTCATTTATCTAACATTACATTTAATAATATATTCTACAAAATCCGTAATTTTTAAATGGCTTTTAAGTACACTATGCAGAAATTCATGAAAAATGCTAGTACCTAATTATTTAAAAAAATTTTAAACTTATCTTGTGAAAATTTTGTGCTTATATCAAAAACTTCAAACTGCATGATCCTAGTCTATTGTAATGCTTGTAATAGAGATTGAAGTTAAGTTTTTTTTACGTAGAACATAAAGTTAATGTCACTCAAAATTGAAGAACAAAAAGTATAGAACAAAAACGAGATCACAAAAAGTTACTGCTTCTGTAGTAAGAAGTTAAATAAATGAATTGGCGTTATGGTCTCGTGTTCCACTTTGATAATTTTACTTTTGACGCTACTTAAGAAAATTCAGTACACGAAGATATGTTTTAAATGGGTGCCTCAAAAAATTTTTTATCATTTAAATGGAGAAAAAAAATTAAAAATCTTTTGTAGATTTCCTCATACATTTCATTGCTTTTGACGAAGATAATCCAAACTCAACAATGTCGAATAAAATTTAAGTTGTAAACTTTAAAATGTGATAGTCCTGATACCCGGAGATGATACGGAGTCAGTTATTATTGTAGATCTTTTAATTGTGCCTACTTCACAGGGCTTATTAAATTTTCGATTCAATGAACTAAAAATGCAAGCTTACTAAAACAACACCTTATATCTGACCCCAATGTACTGTTTTTGGCAAATGAAAAAATTTGACCTCCTCTTTCAGCTTATTTAAAACTAGAAGTTGTATTCCAAGCAAGTCTGTAAAAACTTATTTAAAAGCAAAATTTTAGTATTATGTACTTAAAAAAACATTTGCAATGTTATGAAAAATTTGGTACAGTTTTTTATATCTTATTACGTTATGCATTAAGAAAACTGGTATTTTAACTGTAGGTTTATTAAGATAACTTTATTCTACGTTTTTTTATTATTTTAAATTCTTGGCGTTGCATAGTACTAGGATACAATGTTGTAGTTTCCGTTGGCGAAGGTAAAAAAATGTTAACCTTAATTCAAGTAACCGAGTTGTGTGTTATAAGAAATAAAAAAATGTGTTTCCTAAAACTTTGTCGTTTAGAAAAAAAACTACAAGTTTAACGAATATACTCTACGTGAAGATTAAAAAATCGTATTTAACGTGACCAAAAGAGTTAAAAAACTTAAGTTGGTCCCTCCTTCAGGTAGGTCTATCGGTTAACGAATTTACAAAGAAAATCAAATAAAAATTTGTGTACAAATGAGTAAAGTCATAACAAAGACACTAACGAAATTGGAAGGTGCGAGGTTCCTTAAAGGAGCCGGGTAATTATTATTTACATTCAGTTAATTGTTTCTCAGATACACGGGGATGTGAAGAGCGTGGGGAAGCACGTGCCACATAATTTTAAGTTTAATTAAAGTATGTGTAATACCTAAGTACTTATTCAAGAAGCTTATATTGTAACACGTGAAGTAATAGTACGGGACGACTCTTATATGGTGTAGTTCTTCCAGTTAAGTGCCGTGAAATTTTTCCTTGGCAGTCAAAACTTAAAAATGTAACTTTTTGTGGTTAGGGTTGCTCGCATAGTAAAGCTACTCGCATTCGGGCGAATAGCTTGCTGATAAAAAAGTAGAGGTGCTCCCGGTTATCCGGGATGCACGAAGTTAATTACCATGGGAGAGAACAGTTTAGGCTCTTCTACGCGAATTATTGAGTATTCTCTTAATGTGGGCCAGGGCGCTCATGGAAAAAAGAAAACGCACGATGCTTCACAAGATGCAAGCAATGATACAGCCGAAAAATTGCTTAAGGATCATTCCCACTCTTCTTTACAAGACGCTCGTCTCACTAAACAACCCTAAGCAAGCCTGACAATCACCTCTAACAATGTCACGTCCTCCAACGACACCACTACCATGAAAAAAGCTCAGGTATCACATCCAAAGGATGATTCCAATAATAGATATAGAAATAATCCAATTTTCTATTTTGCTGAGGACAAGGGCCCTTTAAGCGTTATGGTGCAAGGCAAGAAAGCCATGGGTTCAGGCTAACAAAGCCTTGATAGATTTGCAATAAGCAAAGTTGTGTCCAAAAAGTACTGGGTTGAAAGAGCTGTCCTAATAATAGCAGGTAAGCTGAAAATTTTCTTTAAAAACTACTCTAATGCAAACAAAATCCTTCAATATCAAGAAATCCTTGAGAAAGGATGCGATATTTTTATTCTATACCACAGATTGATCAGGAAGGCATCATAAGAGGCGTAGACTTCGAGTTAAAAGATTGTGAAATTTTACAAGATATGACATCTAGTGCAAAAATACACTGCGTAAAACGCATTAACGGGAAAAATCCTATGTCTTCTAAAGATCAAGGACAACCGAGATATATCCCCACTAAGTCAGTAGTGATCTCATTCCAAGGTCAGGACCTTTCTAAGTATGTGTACCTGTACAATATAGACATAGAGATTAAACTTTACGTCGATACACCAAGAATTTGCTAGTCGTGCTTTCTTTCAGGGCACATATCATCAAAATGTAAAAGAAAACCTCTACGTCGCAGGTGTGGGAAAGATAAACATGAAGATAAATGTACTGAGAAGGTTAGGTGTGCGTCGTGCAATGGTGATCATCCAGCTCTGGCCAGCTCCTGTCCAACAATTCAAAAGGAACGTGCCATTCAAAGAGTGATAGCCTACTAAAACAAATTAAGGGATGATGCTCGAAAAATTTTTATCGGTGACTTCCGGCATAATGTTGTTGCCTCCAAAGAATCATACTCATTTCTTTCCGGTGGCAATCCTCTTTCTTTAAGTAACCGCTTAAACACCTTGGCACAGGACTTTAAATCTGATAAAGCAGATCTTCCAAGTTCATATGTTCAAGCCTTTCTGAAAAAACTGGTCAGACAACGGACACCACAACAAAAGGTTTAATATCCAGCAAAAAAGGCTTCAGGATGGATCAAAAGCTCTTTAACTGATATCAATGCAAGTCAACAGTTTCCTAGTGATAGAAAATCACACGATCCATCTTATTCTGCCAGGCCCAACACCACTAAGTACATGCAACATCACAAGCTTGATTTTACTAGCATGCAAGTACCTAACAGAAGTCGTCGTTTCTCCCAAAGCTCTTATATCTTAGATCAACACGAAGCAAAGGGCGTGAGACTGAATTAACCAACCAGTCGGCCTATCCATCTCTCGAAAGAGGTGGCTAATAAAAACTTTGGCCTGTACGCTGCTGATATACTGGCCTCAAGATAAAACACAGTCAACTATTCAGATCTAAATTGCTTTTAACCAATTAGCGAAGGGGACAACACAAATTATGAATACCAGGATAACATTAAAGAGACTTAATTCTAATACATTAAAACATTCAACAGTAAATCCTATTTGTACTTAATCCTTTTATTTGTTGATTCATTTTAATAAAATTCTTTGTTTCTTAGATTTTTTTTTTCTTACAATTTTAATTAAAACTTTTTTTTTTTTACTTTTTNTATGTTAGGCATTAAGAAAACTGGTATTTTAACTATGGGTTTATTAAGATAATTTTATTCTTCGTCTTTTTATTATTTTAAATTCTTGACGTTGCATAGTACTAGGATTCAACGTTGTAGTTTCCGTTGGCGGGGGTAAAAAAATGTTAACCTTAATTCAAATAACCGAGTTGTGTGTTATAAGAAATAAAAAAATGTGTTTCCTAAAACTTTGTCGTTTAGAGAAAAAACTACAAGTTTAACGAATACACTCTACGTCAAGATTAAAAAATCGTTTTTAACGTGCCAAAAAGATTTGAAAAACTTAAGTCAGTTTCTCCTTAAGGTGGGTCTATCGGTTAACGAATTTACATAGAGAATTAAATAAAAATTTGTGTACAAATGAATAAATTCGTAACAAAGACACTAACAAAATTTGAGGGCACGAGGTTTTCTAGGAGCCGGGTAATTATTATTTATATTCAGTTGATTGTTTCTCAGATACACGGGGATGTGGAAAGCGTGGGGAAGCCCGTGCCGTGTAATTTGAAGTTTAATTGAAGTATGTGTAATACCTAAGTACTTATTCAAGAAGTTTATGAGACAACGCGAACATATGCAGCCGATTTATAATATTCAGGGTGATAAAATGTAGGATGGATGAGTGAGAGCGGGTTCTTTTATAAATAAAAAAAACAATTATTCGCGGGACGACACTACTTACCTAGGCATAAAACTCTCGCGGATTGAGAGAAAGCCGGGGTAAGTGTAATATTTTTATATAATCAGTCAATAAAAGGTACAGAACAATTATAATTGTAAGAAATAAGTAACCTTAATGCTACGCCTTACACGCTTCGCTCGCAACGTGACAAGATAACGCGCTACACGATTCGCGAGGATCCTTTAGTACCTAAAGAGAGCTCTCTTACCTCAGTTGCGCCGTCCGTAATAAATACTCCAACACCGCACCGCGGAGGATGGGTGTCGAGGAAGTGCCGCAGGGGGCTCGGGAGCGCACAGGAGATTCGAGACCTGGCTGTCCAAGCGCGTCCCGACGTCTCGAGCTGCCAAACGCTTGGACGACGGGCAACACTCTGTTGCCGCGTTGCGCTCGCCGTAGAAGATCACGATTACCNTCAACTATGGTTGCTTTACATACTACCCAGCTAATGCTTACTCAAGAAACAAGTTGGAGAAGATCCAATATTCGGCTATTAGAATGGCACTAGGATTCAGGAATATCACCCCTACTAACATTCTACCTCAAGAGGCCAAAATCGTCAGCATTAAAGAACGAACTACATACCTCTTCATGTCCTAAAAATAGCAGGTAAACTAAAAATTTTCTTTAAAAACTACTCTAATGCAAACAAAATCCTTCAATATCAAGAAATCCTTGAGAAAGGATGCGATATTTTTATTCTATACCACAGATTGATCAGGAAGGCATCATAAGAGGCGTAGACTTCGAGTTAAAAGATTGTGAAATTTTATAAGATATGACATCTGGTGCAAAAATACACTGCGTAAAACGCATTAACGGGAAAAATCCTATGTCTTCTAAAGATCAAGGACAACCGAGATATATCCCCACTAAGTCAGTAGTGATCTCATTCCAAGGTCAGGACCTTTCTAAGTATGTGTACCTGTACAATATAGACATAGAGATTAAACTTTACGTCGATACACCAAGAATTTGCTAGTCGTGCTTTCTTTCAGGGCACATATCATCAAAATGTAAAAGAAAACCTCTACGTCGCAGGTGTGGGAAAGATAAACATGAAGATAAATGTACTGAGAAGGTTAGGTGTGCGTCGTGCAATGGTGATCATCCAGCTCTGGCCAGCTCCTGTCCAACAATTCAAAAGGAACGTGCCATTCAAAGAGTGATAGCCTACTAAAACAAATTAAGGGATGATGCTCGAAAAATTTTTATCGGTGACTTCCGGCATAATGTTGTTGCCTCCAAAGAATCATACTCATTTCTTTCCGGTGGCAATCCTCTTTCTTTAAGTAACCGCTTAAACACCTTGGCACAGGACTTTAAATCTGATAAAGCAGATCTTCCAAGTTCATATGTTCAAGCCTTTCTGAAAAAACTGGTCAGACAACGGACACCACAACAAAAGGTTTAATATCCAGCAAAAAAGGCTTCAGGATGGATCAAAAGCTCTTTAACTGATATCAATGCAAGTCAACAGTTTCCTAGTGATAGAAAATCACACGATCCATCTTATTCTGCCAGGCCCAACACCACTAAGTACATGCAACATCACAAGCTTGATTTTACTAGCATGCAAGTACCTAACAGAAGTCGTCGTTTCTCCCAAAGCTCTTATATCTTAGATCAACACGAAGCAAAGGGCGTGAGACTGAATTAACCAACCAGTCGGCCTATCCATCTCTCGAAAGAGGTGGCTAATAAAAACTTTGGCCTGTACGCTGCTGATATACTGGCCTCAAGATAAAACACAGTCAACTATTCAGATCTAAATTGCTTTTAACCAATTAGCGAAGGGGACAACACAAATTATGAATACCAGGATAACATTAAAGAGACTTAATTCTAATACATTAAAACATTCAACAGTAAATCCTATTTGTACTTAATCCTTTTATTTGTTGATTCATTTTAATAAAATTCTTTGTTTCTTAGATTTTTTTTTTCTTACAATTTTAATTAAAACTTTTTTTTTTTTACTTTTTTCTATTTCCATGTTTTTTATTTATTTTTTTTTATTATTTTTTTTTTTT